ATATATATATATTACCTACTCATTAGTCATGAAATGCTTGACTATTTACAGAAGTTCAATATATTGATTATTATTCTTTTGTATTTTCCTTTTCTTCATTAATCAATATTTAAATGCAAATAGATTTTAGGTTTTTGTTATTTTGTTTGAAATTTGTTTTATGTTAAAGACTGTTATATATATTCATTACTCATAAGTAGTCTGTTGTTCATCATGTATTTTATGTTTTATTTATTAATTTCATCTTTATTTAATTCAAAAATTACAAAATGTGATTACTTTGTGAAATGAATAAAGTTTAAAAAAATTATCAATTAAAAATTTTTTTCCGTTGATTATCAACTAACTAGTCTCGTATATTTAAAATTGCATTCTGAACATGGTGAAAAAGGGAGTCTACAGTGGAGTAAATAACTTTCATTTTACTTCACAATTTGCAAGGTAGTTTGACTTTTAAAACGTCATTTTAAAGATATGAAGACTTAGTTCTTGACCATAGAGTCACGGATTAAAAACCTGTTCCATTTGATCATTTATGAGCGCATACTTGATTACTGAGTAGTTGCATATATTTATTTGATTGTTTCTACGTATATTGACCTACTGTTTTTCGAGGAGCCCTGTAATGTCCGTCAGAAAAATCTATGGAGGCCCAAAAGCGCTAGGAAACGTGTCATCCAATCGGCATTGGATAAGATTTTCGCAGAAACGTCCGGAAATGTATAATTACTGTCACGGTTATGATTGAATATTTAACCATACCGCTACAATGTTTAGTATGGTTCTTGAACCTTCGAGAGTAAATACCCTTTTTTCTGTACATAAACTAACCTTCTGGTACTTCACGCTTTTTCTCTTGTGTTCAAGCTGCATTGTTGATTTAATGTACAGTTGTTAGAAGCGGATAGGAACCCAGATCTGGCGTTCATATATGAAGTTAGGATTGTTTGTGAAATAGAATAAAATTGTTAATGTGGAGTTGATTAAGATGCTACGTCAACTTGAACAAGCTTATAGATTCAATGAAACTGCAAGATCAATGATCAGAATTAATTTAAGTAGAACAGGATTAGATAGAAAAATACTAATATAGCAATTGCCAAATTTAGTTGAATATTTAGTGAATGATATATAAGTTGGTTCAGAATTATTAAAGTGAACTGACTACTAAGTCGATCAAGTGTCGAAGAGATGTTAAACCAATAGTAATACAAGTATATGTCAATAAAGATAACTACTAACCGCATTTGAGTACCATGTCAATGAGTCTGGATTACCACTATTAGCAGATGTAAAGGCTACCAGCAAAATCCAGGATGTCCAATTCTACTTATTTCGTAGTCGTTAGCTGTATATACCTGAAGCTTAGAGTTGGTGTTCAGTCCAGGATTGCAACCCATTACCGTTTCCTACAAACAGCAGCGCGTTATCCACTCAACAAATGACTTCAGATAGTCACCGCTTATATAATCGGATGAACATTAACCCATTCGTTTTGGTTGTTTGAATCTCGTTGATGTTTGAAGCGAACAGTATTGAATTCGAGTTTCAAAGTGGGTATCAACTCTGGGATGCAGGTACATCTAGCCTTCGAATCCTGAATAGAGCGAAGCCAGATTCTTGAATTCTGTTGCTAGCCACCGTCGATCTCTTTGAACAGCATTGTTATAAAGGGGAGAATCCTGTGAATTATTTTTTAACTATTTATTTCTGTTATTCATATAATTATTGCTAATTGGTTGTAAACCTTTCGTTCAGATTTCTCTCACTTACGCTCTGGTTGTGTGCAAATAGTTGTTCCTAATTCTTCGTATGTTACGTCATAAAATATCAAACGACTTATGCTTGCTTTGTTCTCTTGTTTGGGCTCAATAATAGAAACAGTAAGAAGACATATGTTTTGGATCATTACAAATTCAGACAACTTAGCATCGGCTCAAGGTTAGTCGTGCCAACCAGAGCATGTCATTGGTCAGAACGCAGAATATCAGTCTAAAGAAAAACTCGTGTGCTCAGGATAGTTTGTAGACCTAAATTCTGATCGTTACATATCTCAATTGATAACAATTAACGTTTTTTTCATAATAATCCTGGAATCAGATACTTTAATGAAAAATTTATTCACAGTTTGCCCATTTGGATACTTAATATCTCTCTCAATTAAAACCCTTGATGTAAGCGTTATTCTTTGCAGAGCGAAATCAATTAGTTGAAAACTAAAATTTGCAGCAATAAAGATGTCAACCAAAAATTGCTATTAGTGTTAAACTATTGAATCATGATTTCAGTAGTTAGACTTTTTGTACAGATTTTTTCCAATATTGACCACACTAATAAGCAAATAATTTAAGATTAAATATCTTTCTGCAACAAGTTGTCAACTTCACAATCAACCTACTGTTCACCTTCTGTTTTTTAAACGAAAGATTTGGAGTTGTTCTAGCTATGTACTCTTTGAAATAAAATTGTCATACGCTATTTTAAATTTGTTTCTCATACAACTATCGGCTTCATGTGCTCCTATTACAAAGTTCATTTATATAAACACATTATAGAAAAGACTTATTTTAAATTAGATATCTAGAAGAATAGCTCTAGTAGATTCATGTGACACTTATACCAAACCAACACTGCAGTATACCCTTTTTCCGCTTATAAATTTATTAAATTATGGGTAGAAGACATTATTTATTGAAGTTAAATAGTTTTTTTGTAAAACAGTGATTGTTGACATGGATTAAACAGTTGTTACAGATTCACTCATTATTCTGTAGAATTTCATCACATCAATAAACTGAATTTACAACTGTGTTACACTTTATTATTAAAACCAAACAAGTTACAACGCTACAGTGTTAGATAGTAAATTCTTCTCAAAAAAATAAATCAGAATTTAGTTGATAATTCTTTTCGTTTAACTTTTCAATGACGTGCTTATTTACGTGATCCATTTTTCAGATACACTCACTTATATTTCTATTATAAGAATTATTATATTCAACGAACATGTCTACTAGTGTTTAAACTTGATTTACAGAATCTAATGTGTACTAATTCTAACTCTACAAAATCCTCTCAATTTTTTGTAACATCTTGCCTACCTACTTACAACTTTATTTATATTCCAAATAAACTTATTATTTATTTATAGGCAAGATTCGTATATCATTCTATTTGGAGCTGTTCAACTAGAAGTACCTAAATTTCAGTTGTCATGTTTAGAGATTAAGATTCGAACCCAGTACTTTTCGTCTGTAACGCGTGATGCGTTATCTACTGATAGTCTCTGACTTGAACAATAGAGGTGAATTTGATGCTTGTAATTGCAAATGTTTGCACTTCCTGTTTTTTTTTATGTTAAAGACTACAGTTGATCAAACTCTTTTAGTAACTTTTCTCAAAAATTATTCGTGACTCAATGAAAACACCAAAGAAATCCACATAGGATATACAATTACGATAAAGTAACTAACTTTCAGACTAGTCAGACAGCCGGTCAGTTACAACGTAGAACTTCGTACACGAGTACATAAGTTCAGGTTGCCATACCGCATTAGCACAAAGACGCAATTTTCAGTTCAATTCCCACAGCAGTAGAGACAGTAAAAGTATTAGCAGTTATGGAGAAGATATATTTCAGTCAGATAACTTTAGAAAGAGACTAGTCTCAAAGTTCTTATCAAGTTACGACAAAATGCTTCATAACTGAGTTATGTTTGTTTTACTAAACAGACTCTGTGTATATCTTCAAAAACTTACTTACTGACAAAGGGTTAAATTAATGCTACAACACTGATTGAGCTTAATTCAATAAATTCCGAGAATACATTGATTATTGGAAATTCCCATAGTTTTAATTAGAATACAGATAAACAATGAAAATTATTTTCAATTTAGTGTCTTATTTAAATTCTAATCTAAAATACAATGATAGTATTTGCATTTACTAAAAATTTCAAACCCATTAAGATAATCTTCAGATCGATGAGAACAATAAAAGAATAGATTGTATAAATAATAACGGGTTTCAACATCCTGGACTGATTTTTCGTTACAGAGTCATTAGAAATCAGAAAACATTAGACAATTATATTGTTCTAGTATAGAACACATCTATGATCATACATAGGATCTCTAACCCAGGAACCTTAAAGTCTCATCATT